ATTAACAGGAGGAATCTAATCATCTCATTCACTTGGCCCATTAGACACAGCTTCAGAGCTGGGCTCCTGAAAATCTCTGCATAGTTCATTGAGGTTTTCATGTGGTGGCACACACTTGAACTTCTAACAATCTGATCAGCAGTTGCATGATGTTGTTCTTGTTGTTATTACTTTTCCTTGCCTCCCTTCTTGTTGGCCTTGGAGTCTCATATTTACATTAGTCCAGTTGTGTCCCCTTCCCATTTATGTATGCTGGGTTCTTCAATGGTTTGATGTAGTAGTTAAGGTATCAGGCTAGAAACTGAGACACTGTGTTCTAGTCCTGCTGTAGGCACAAAGCCAGCTGGGTGACCTTGGGCCAGTCACTCTCTCTCTCAACCCTAGGAAAGAGGCAAACCACTTCTGAAATCTTGCCAAGAAAACTGCAGGGACTTGTCCAGGTAGTCACCAGGAGTCAATACTGACTTGAAGGCACAGACACACACATACATGCATGCCTAGTCTTAAGAAGCATTATTGACATTTTTTTACTCGTTAAGAGTAGCAATAGTGTATTGAAGGAAACTCACCCAGTTCTATAAAACTTGTCACTCCAAGGGTTCCTAATAGCTGAAAAGCAGTTAACAAGCAATTTCCAAAAGTGATCAGAAAAGTATGCAAACCCTATGTCCATAAAGGCAGTGACCATAGTTTGGGCAAAGATGGCATTCCCTGGTCTCCCATAGCTCTAAACCTGCCCTGGACCACTTTTGTGTGGTCTCCTCATGAGGGGCAACTGTCTGGAGCACTTGTGGGTGATCCCAAGTCCTCTCCTTGTCCGGAGTGGAATCACAAATAGCTAGTCCATTTGTCGGCTCTGCTGTTAGCAGGTCCATCTTCAGTTCGCCATTTCTTTCCCGGAAGTTTCTAGATTCCTTAAAGGTTAAAGTTGGAAGAAATTTCCAAACTAACTTATAAATTTATCAGAAATTAATACAACGCACCAGAGTCTTAGTTTCTCAAAGTAGAACACTAACAAAAGTCACATGTCTATATCATTCACTCCGCTTTGGTTTTCTTAGGTGAGGAAGGCAAGTTCATGGCAGAATTCTTTAATGTCACTAATCTCTAATATAATGTTGCAGAAAAATCCATAAATGTGATGGTGTCCTCAAAGAAACCAAAATCTTGGCCTTATTAAGGAATAGCACAAGCATCTAAAAAACTATTCATACTAGATTAAAGTGGTGTGTTCTTTCAAATGTATACAATTTAGCAACTACTTTTTTAAGGGCCTCTTTTACCACCTTGTTTCGTAAGCTATATATCAGGGGATTGAACAAAGGGGTTAGGATTGTATAAAACAGAGACAAGACTTTGTTGATTTCTCGTAGTCCATCTGTTTTGGGCAAAATGTAGACAATCATTAATGTGCTATAGAAAAGGGACACCACCATGAGGTGTGAGGAGCAAGTTGAGAAAGCCTTTTGCCTCCCACTGACAGATGCCATTCTCATAATGGTGGAAATAATGAAAGTATAAGATGCCAAGGTCAAGAAGAAAGGAGGCAATATACACAGAACAGATAACAAAGTAGTTACTAGTTCAATCAAATGAGTGTCACTGCATGCTAGCTTTAATATTGGATTCAATTCACAAAAGAAATGATTGATTTCACTGGGGCCACAGAACTTTAACTGATGCATTAGATATATGGCTATATTCATAACAAATAAACCACTGATCCATGATCCAGCTATAAGCTGGAGGCAAATTCTACCATTCATTAGTATTGTGTAATGCAGCGGTTTACAGATTGCTACATACCTATCATAGGACATTGCCCCTAGCACACAACATTCAGCAACTACCAAAATACCAAAAAAATAATATTGCATCATGCAGCCAGTTACGGAGATTGTTTTTCGCCCACCATACAAGAGATTAGCCAGCATCATTGGAAGGATGTTAGAACTGTAGCAGGTCTCCAGGCAGGACAAATTACCCAGGAAGAAATACATGGGGGTGTGAAGGTGGGGATCAGTAACAACCAGCAAAATGATGAGGATGTTCCCAACTATAGTAACAAGGTATGTAACTAAGAAGAGGCAGAAGAGAGGAACCTGGAGATCTCCAAGTCCTACAAATCCCATCAAATGGAATTCCATGATTTCTGTTTGGTTCTCTTGTTCTGTTTCTGCCATGCCTGCAATATGAGACCAAATTTATTTGAGCTGCTCAGAAATTATTTTTGTAGTTCTTATCCTTTTAACTTATAAGCAACGTTCACAATTATAAATAGTTCAGAAACATGAAATGCATAAAAGTGAATGAAAGTATTCTTTTTGTTAACAATTCCATACTTACAACAGATGAGGGTCTGAGAAAAAGTCATTTGAGAACAAATGGGTGAGCATAATGAGATGTTGTGGCTAAAAAATAGAGGTTTGTTGGCTCTTCGTTTTTGTTTATATGAGGGAAGTCTTATTGAATTCAGTACTAGCTAAGTGAAGTGTTCATAGCATTATTCTATTAAATAACCTTCATTCTGAAGATTAACAAAAGTCTTTGGCAATAATTCATTTTTTCTGCACTAACTAAAATTAGGAAATGAGATTCATAGAAAAAATCAGTAAAAAACAGAGATGTTGTTTACTAATTTTTCAGTGAAAGCCTCCCATCTGATGTCCAACTTGATGTGACTCTGCTTAGTTTCTTCAGATCAGCCAAGATTGGCTAGGTGTTATCACTTAGCTCAGCTAGAGAATATTTAATTCTTCAGAAAAAATCTATTGTATTTGGGAGATTTGATAATACCTTTTTGAATCCAGACCTAAGTTACCACAAATATCTTGTTTACAGATGAATTCAGGATTTGTTTTCTTCCTCTTTTTTTAAAATAGGACAGGCATGACCTTGTTTGCAATAGAAATGAGGAATTAGGACTTGCTAGCTTCATTTGTCATACTGGAGAAAATCTATCTAGTTACTAGGAGTCCAAAATGACTTGATGGCACGTAATCAATCAGCTCCATTTCACAGCTTTGTCTTGCATGTGACATTACACACGAATGTGAAAATCTGAGAAGCAGATTGGTTGTTTCATATTATACAGTTATGAATTAAAGTCAAACGTTCAGGTTTGTAGCCCCTTAACACCAAATAATTATGACTTGCCATTCAATAGCCCACAGTTCACCTTAGGAACACAGCTACCCTCTCTCAAATGTTTGAGTAATCCTGACTGGGAATTCTGGGAGTTGTTCTTCCAATAAATGAGGAAGCTCTACTTTGGTGAATAAATGAGCACAAGAAAGTATGAAAAGGCACAGTCCTTCCCACCAGTCGTGCTCAGCTTCCACAAAGTGCTTAGCATTCACTTGTTCAATTACCCCAATCACACTCTACAAATAAACATCCCATTGTGGATTATCTTACATAATAACTGTTCTGTGTGTATTTTTGCTCTTGCTAGTTCACATTAGGGTTAATCCAATTATGGTACTTTCTTCTATTTAGAACTTGGCATGCATATATAAATGTAATGTTTAGTTTCTTACTTCTTCCCTATTGTTTAGTAAACTATCTTAAATGTTAGGAATTAGATTGTATCTCTCATATATACTGTGCATGCATTGTTTCTTTCTTTCTTTCTCTCTTTCTCTGCCTACATAAAATCCAACAAGTAAAACTTTGGAGCTTCATTCTTGGGATGTGTAGTATGCACTAATTCAACAACTGGGCAAAACTGTAAATCGATGTCCCTATACTTTTTCATATTTACATAAATACTTCTTCTAAGTATGATGCTCACCCCTTTGGGAATAGGGTGGGCAGAATTGTAGGTACATTTGCAGTTCCCAGAATTTCCAGCCAGAGGACCAGTTTATGAACCATTTCTATATATTCATAACTCACCTATTCTCCAAGTGATATATATCACTGTACTTCAATGCCAGCTTTCTTTAAGCAAAATAGAACAGTCAATGCTCCTTGCACAATTTTGTAAAATGATAATAAAAATGCATCTTTTAAAAAATTAAAAACCTAACCTCAGGAAGACTCAAAAGAGTCCTAAATAAAGTTTCATTTAGTGTTACAGACAGAATTAAATGGAATGGATCACACTGAGAGAAGTTATGGCTGGCTAAAATCACAAATAGGGAGACTCAGGGCTGCAGTATAGTGTTCCCTGTCACGTTGAACAAAACTGAACAAAACTGTTGCCTGGAAATGTACCACACCTTTCTTCTGGTTCTCTCAATAGGTGTGCAGAAAATTGAATTACCTTTACAGGAGTCTGATATTCAGCTAGTAGCTTTTGATCTTCTGCCACCATCAGCACCAAGTTCTCTATGGAATCTTACTTTAATCCCTAGATTAGACTCAGGACGGGCATAAATAAAAGAAATAATTGAAATGAAACCTAATTGGACACTGTTTCTAGAAAAACAAAGACATCATTCTAACTTTGCATTTATGTTATATTGAAGAGCAGGGTCCCTACTGTGCAAATTAACTCAGTTTACTATAAAGGAAAACCACATGTCTCTAGATGATAATACCCAGGGGAATCTGAAAATAGACAGACTATCACAGCCCCTTTGAACACACTATTGCTACTGTTAAAGAGTAGCAAAAAAGCCCCAAATCCCTCTTAAGGATAGAAGAAAGCATCAAAATTACATTTGGGGTGAAGAGACTGAAAAGTAAAACAAGTGTCCAAAGCTTGTGATAGGTTTTACATGCATATTTCACCAACAGAGATGAAAACAGGGAAAGCATAAAATATGGACATCATTGTTATGTCTAGTGCAACTTCAGCTGCTAAAAAATATTAGAGAGATATATGCAGCCCCCAAGCCACAAGAAGATAGATGCTTCCCCTGTACAATTGGGACATGCTATCTTTGAACTGGGATCCAGATGCACCCCCTCAAATCATTTCTGCGCAACTCACAGAAGAGAACACAGCTCTCTGGTCTCCGATTTTCAGCAGACTAATCTTGATACTTCTGGTTTCCACAACAAAAATGGTTGGAAGAAACTGTGTAAGGTAAAAACAACTTGTAAAAGAGAAGGGGGAAGTTAACGGTCTTTCCCCACCCCTCTTCATCTGGACCTCTTTCTTCCTTCGACTACATTAATTTGCCATCTTCTTCCATGTAACTCTTAACATATTCCAGATGACTCATATAGGACCCTTGTTCTGAAGAAGGGAGATGTGAGGAGGGATGCAATACAGAAAGACATTTTTAAACTGGCCACAAATGACTAGAAAATAATCGTTCAAAAGTTTACTTTGCTTTCACTTCATTTTCTATTGGCAATGGAAAGCAGAGATGGAAGTATCAAAATTCAGGAAATCATCTCACCACAGCGCAAGCACTTGTCTAGCTATGGGCTACCCATCTCTCCATATGACTAGGAACTACAATTTGTAAAATAACCCAGATAGCATAGCCATTGGCCATGGAATCTGGAGGATTCTCTGAGTTTTCCTCCCAAAACCTCTGCAGAGCATCATAATGGAGAAGATTCCTCTAACTCAAGACAAATCTGTGATCCTAATTCAAGAATTGGGATGAAATCAGGACATTCCTATTCTAGCATGGGGAGAGGATTACCCTCTTTCCCCAGTGCTACTAACTTGGTCCATTTGGGGTTCTGCAGAGCTGTTTTTAAGTAAACTGAAGGAATTTCTAAATCTACCTTAATGTATACAACCAATATTTATATCAAGGGTGGAAAAGTCTTGCCTTTGTTAGACTACATATCTTGTTAGACTGAAGGTCTCAGCTAGCATGGAAAACGATGAGATGAGAGATAATAGGCATCATCTAGGCTTTGTTTCTCTCCATGCTGGCTTTAGAGCACCAAAAATTCCCCTTGGCCATCCAGTCTGATAATTCTGGCACTTGTAATCCTAATATAACTAGAGGGAACCAGATTGAGTAAGGGTATTTTAGTCTAAACATAACTTCAATAGATAATGGCTTGGATTATGCACAAAATATTGAAGATTTTCTACCTCTGTAATTGGTTTATGAGTACTGGTGTCAAAAATATGCTGACTCCCTGTGAATCACCATGGTTAGCGTCACAAAATTATATCATGATTACCCATTATGCAATATGAGTGTAATGTTTATGTATAGTAATATACTTCCCTACGTGTGTGACAAACATAAGTAGGCCAAGACAATAAATTACTGTACTGTGCTAAAATGCAATAGATTCAGCTGAAAGTAGAGGACATAGATTTTAAGTTATTGAAAGGAAAAATCCCAAATTTAACATCAGTTAAAAAAAAAATAGTTTGAGCATATAGTAAAAAGATTTATTTATTTGTTTGTTTATTTGTTTGTAAAAGATGGAATCTATTCATTTCATTCACTTGGTCCGTTAGATACAGCTTCAGAGCTGGGCTCCTGAAAATCTCTGTGTGCAAATACTAGGTGCTTAAGTGGAAGGGGACCTATTTCAACATGAACAGTACCACAAGAAATTCCACTGACATGACTGTCTCTGTCCCATATGTTCTGCATTATCATAACCTTCCTTAATAATATGGTTGCATGGACAGTCCAGGAAGTATTAAAGAAGTGAAGATGTATTTCTGCAGAAAGCATGGTCCTATCATGAATCTACCAAACTTTTTGAGTTAAATCAAGAGAAGACACCTTAACCACATGTAACCTTTAATAAAAAGTTGCTTCTGTGTGTGTCTGTGTGGGTTTGAGAGACAGAGAGAAAGAGAGAAAGAGAGAAACCCAAAATTTTTAACCAACTGGAGTGCAACCAGCATCTCACTAAACAATCAAACTAAATTACACAGTGGTGCATTCTCTCAGCAATATACAATTTAGCAACTGCTTTTCCAAAAGCCTGTTTTACCTCCCTGTTTCTTAGGCTGTATATCAAGGGATTTAATAAGGGTGTCAGAACTGTATAAAACAGAGACAAGACTTTGTTGATTTCTAGCAGTCCATCTGTTTTTGGCAAAATGTAGACAATCATTATTGTGCCATAGAAGATGGACACCACAATAAGATGTGATGAACAGGTTGAGAAGGCCTTTTGTCTTCCACCAGTGGAAGGGATCCTCACAATAGTAGAAATTATATAAACATAAGATGCCAAGGTCAACAAGAAAGGTGGCAAGGAACATGCAGCAGCTAATAATGCAGTTAAAATTTCAATCACATGAGTATCACTGCATGCTAGATTTAATATTGGACTGAAATCACAAAAGAAATGGTTAATTTCAGTGGGGCCACAGAATTTTAACTGGTGCATTAGATATATAGTTATGTTAATAGCCAATGAGCCACTTATCCAGGATCCAGCTACAAGCTGCAGACAAACCTTGCCGTTCATAACTGCTCTGTAAAGGAGTGGATTACAGATTGCTACATATCTGTCATAAGACATTGCTGCTAGAAGGTAACATTCAGAAGCTGCCAAGAAACCAAAAAAGTAATATTGTACCATGCAGCCAGTTACAGAAATAGTTATTGGACCCTCATATAAAAGGTTGATCAATGTTATTGGAAGAACATTAGAGCTGTAGCATGTCTCTAGGCAAGACAGATTACTCAGGAAGAAGTACATAGGAGTGTGAAGATGGTGATCAGTAACAACCAGGACAATTATAAGGATATTCCCAACCATGGTCATAATATAGATCAACAATAAGAGTGCAAAGAGAAGAAGCTGCAGATCTCCAAGATCTCCAAATCCCAGCAAAAGGAATTTGGTAATAGTTTGATTTTGTTCTTCCCCTTTGGCCATTGTTACAAAATCATGTCTGCAAAAATGATATAAAATACATAAGAGTTGACATTATCAATAAAATTCTGTGATTTCACTGAAAGAATATTGCATTTCTTTGAAGCAAGTTCGCTTTTCATGCAACTAGAAGTGGGTTATGATTGCAGTCTGTTGATATCTTGTGATAATTAAATACCAGGTTTTACATCAAGTCCCAGAAAGGCCACCACTGCAGTGCTGTGTGAGAATTAGAGAATGGTAGTTAGGTCATATAAAACTGCATTCTTATACTTCATTGGTGTAAACTCCACTGAATGCAGCAGAGCTTACTTCAAAAACATATACAGTTGCACTATAAATGTGTCATTTATGTGCTTGATGACAGAATTGAGTTTCATGACTTAGCTATCCACTTTGTTTTTTCTTTTCTTTTCTTTTGCATTAACTAAAAATTGAGGGAAGGATCTAAGGTTACCTGAATTTCATCCAAACTGAAAATAATATCAGCTAATTCTTCATTAGCTGCCCAATCAATTTAAATGAAGTATTAATTCAATGACTCTAACTTAGATCCCATGCATTATACAGTATCTAAAACTAAAAAAGAATCATCATATTTATTTATATTCCTAGTCAGTTTGGAGAACTTGCTATACAGTTGTTTGAATCCTGACCTAAAACATTGCCCAAGTATATTTTCCCTTTCCTTCTTTATTTCAAATGACATAGCCAAGACAATAGTGGTAAAAATTGTGTACTTTTGGAATTAGAGCTTGCTACATCCACTTCATATCTTTATTTTGAATATTACATTAGACATACCCTTAGAAATCCCGTTTAAAGTATTTTCACTTTTTCAGATCATAAATTAATCATCAGAGGTCAAGGCTTATTTTTGGAGAAAAAGTGTAACAGCAACATGGTAGACAATCACTATACAAACCCTTATTTTCTTATAATTCTCATAGTGTTTAATATATATAAGGTTGATAGCTTAAGGTGTTTAAACTTTGGACTGGGTTACTCCAATGAGAAGATGTTTAAAATGCAAGTATTTGAAATTAATATAAAGTTTAAAATGTTTAGAGGACAATTATCTTTTTGATGCGCTCCATAAAACATCTAAAACAGAACATGAGAGGAAGTTGAAACAATATATAGAGGACTGTTTCCTTACCTGCAACCTACAGAATTCTCTGCTTCCAATTCTTTGATGTCTAGAACGGCTTTATAGTACTAATGGCCATGACTATACAATTATTTCAGAGTTTTCCATCTCTATTAAGAAACAGTAATCCATAAGCATTTGGGAGAAAATTTCCCATAGCTCAATGACAGAGATGTGCTTTTCCCGCAAAAACAGCTTTTCCTTGTTCAGACCTTGGCAAGTTGGGGTACAGATGGAAAAACTCTGAAGAAACACTGAAGACAATTCTAAATAAGAAAAGCTAAGGGACTAGATATACAACAGTTTCTGGTTTCCTTTGAATTTAAGTCTTTTATTTTGGAATTACCAACCCTTTTCCAGCCCCCAGCTCCGTGACATTTAAATACTGGCATGTACTTTTTGGGAATATATAGCAACTGATCAAAGAGCAATTGCTTCCTGTCAAAAATTGGAGAGAGAGAGAGAGAGAGAGAGATTAACTTTAGTTCTTGTTTTTTCTCTCAATAGTGCATTACCCCTATTTTTTTTTTAATGTGACCTATGAGAAAGATCACGTGAATAGCAATAAGAACATCTCTGCATACATGGGAATAGTCCAAAAAAAAAAAAAATAGCTGTATAACATAGTTCTAGAGTCTCATGAATTTAAAAGAAAATGTTCCCAGAACTCACAATATCTTGCCAACTGATGTACATTCATCTGGGATGAATACTAAGTGACTATTCTAAAGAGGATGAAATTATGTAATATGCAAACATTTTATCCTATTTTTGATGCATGTAACAGTTTTCTCCAACATTGCGATATCTGCACGTCTATGCTGATTGTGGTCACTTAAAAGCATACTCTTGTTGAAGTAAACTAACTCTAACTAACTAACTAACATGTTAACTAACTCTCATAACTGCCATTCAGAATACCCAATAGCTGCTGTATTATGGGATTTGGCTGAGAATTCAAGGACCCAATATCCAATACAACCAAGTGGTGGAATGTTTCTCTCTTATACAACATTTTAGACTTTACAATTGGCCTCTGACCATCTATACAGATTAAACTAAAAACTAAACATTACAGAGTTGATTCTTTATAATCAGAGCTGGGTCTTTATAACCAGGTTGCCTATATCTCATCCTGCTGAACAAATTACTAGCTGACCTATATAAACATATGAATAAGTTTAAATGAATATATTCAGAATGATTGTATCCGTATTTTTGTTGTTTTACCTGAAAATAAAGACTCAGTTGAACGGAGGTTGATTCCTGGCAATCTTATGGACATGTCTATGCAGTTCTCATGACAGCAGCATGGTTGCCATTGCTGTTTTCTGAGATTTATTTTAGGTTTCCAGTCTAGCCTACAGCCCTGGATTTTCCTGGAAATCTCTAACGTAAGTACCAATCAGGTACTACCCTGTTTAATCTGTGAGGCCAGCCAGATGCTTTCTTTCCTCAAATGCATTATGGGCAAATGTATCCCCATTCCTATTCTGGTTTATGCTCTTGGTAAACTTATGAGGCAAAACAAGATAGTGAGTAGCCCAGTATTAGTGTCATCTTTGTGAGTGAGTGTGTGAGGATATGAATTTAGAGCTCTACCATCTGAGCCTAATACTTTTGCAAGCATTCTTCAATGGATCTCATTTTTCATGGAACATCCATTCTCCTCTTCCCAAGACTAATATTAATGTGTGATCATATGAATGAAGGAAAGAGACAAGAATCTTTTAACAAAGAATTTTGTGTACCCTTGCTTTAACAAAATGTTTCTAAATAATTACAGCCTTAAAATATATCTGTAGAATAGAATAGAATAGAATAGAATAGAATAGAATAGAATAGAATAGAATAGAATAGAATAGAATAGAATAGAATAGAATAGAATAGAATAGAATAGAATA